GACAGGGGAGCATCGGTATAGTGGGGCGGGCTCTGCTATGGGGCAGGTTTGGGAGAACCCCCAGGCGCTCAGGCCTGGGCAGGAGCTGAGTGGCCTGCCCTCCCCTCCAGAGCCGAGTTCCGGGCTGAGGTGCTGCAGAGGAAGCGGGAGGTACGGCAATCCCAGGAGGACTCTGCGGAGCTGGCGGAGGAGCACCGGCGCCTGATGGCCTGGAACGAGGCGGAGAATGCCCGGCAGCGGGAGCGCAGGTCAGGCTGGCTGGCGCGAAGCTGGGAGGCCGCTTCGTTTCGTGGCTTTGACTTTTGCTCATGCGGAACTAAATACAACCCCTGGGTCATTGTGTTGATTTTGAGTGTGTGTGTCATTCAGCATCTGCTGAGTCCCAAAAGCAGGAGAAGGTTACAGAGAAAAGCCAGTCTGTCCCGTCCCCATGGGTTGTCCCTTAGCCCATCACAAAGCACACCAGCTTCCCCATCCAGGTCCTGCCAGAAGAATCGCGTGCTCCCAGACGGAGCCAGACCCCACTGGGTGTCAAGTCGTCTCCACACGTGTAACTCTGTTTGGAAGCTTTTGCGTTAAGATTTTACATTAATTTTTCTTGCGGAGGAGGAAGGGAATTCTCTCCGTCCCCACGCTGGGACAGCATGGGCTCTCTTCCCTGGCACAGCTGCCTTAGTCCTTCCCTTTGTTCTGGCTGCGCTCAAACTTGGTGGCGCTGCACCCCAAGGAATTAGCGTGTCTCACCAAAGTGCCGCCCTTGCAGGTCGTGGGCGTTCAGCAGCACCTTTTTTTGTTTTCCTTTCCTTATGGCAGGGAGGAAAGAATTAGGAAAGAAGAGGAAGAACAGAAGAGGAAGAAGTTACAAGCTGTGGAGAACCAGGCCAGAATAATGGAGGCTTTCCTGAAGGAGAAGGAGAAGGAGGTTCTCCAGCTGCAGGTGAGAGCAGCTGGTGCCTGCTGGGGAGATCGCTGCCAGCAGTCCCTGTGAAGGATTTGGCGGCAGCTGTGGGAGTGATGTGGAAGCTGTAGGCTTATTTTCCAGAGATTTTTGTGTCGGTAGGTGGGAACACAAGTGTTAGCACCTTCCAGGAGTGTTGACAGCGTGTGGATGGGATAGAGGTTGAGTGAGAGCTCTGAAAACAGAGTGGAATAATCCTGAGGGAGAGAATAAAGGTTTCCTCACTCTGGATTGGGCTCCTGCTGAGGTCCTGGTGATGCTGGTGGCGCCTCGGGGTCTCTCAGAGATCCACGAGCTCTGTGGCACAGCAGCTCCTGCACTGCCCTTGGTGCAACTCCTCCGTTAAGGTGTGTTAAGAGCCGGTACTTGTCCTTCCTTCAGGAGGAAGCCAAAACGTTCATCACCCCTGAGAACCTGGACGCGCGGATCGAGGAGTGCCTGGACAACCCTCGCAACTACAACTTTGCCATTGACAAGGATGGGCGGATCGTCAAACGGACGGTGTTGTCTTAATGGCCCCAGCCTGCCTTCTGTCCAGAGGCTCTGCTTACGAGCAGGTTTCTTCCTTTTAACCTATAAATCGACCGCAGAATTGTGGGAGAAAGCCTGCAGGCCTGGCTGTGGTTCTTCTGAAGGGTTAACGCCTACGGGAAGGAGGGTGAGGGAGAAATTTGGGCTTGGGACAAGCAGCAAGGCATCTGTCTGGGCCCTGTGAGGGGGTGGAGAAGCTGCTGGTGTTTGTGCGCCTGTCGCTCTGACTCTCTGCGATTCCGCCTTCCGCTTTCGCACAAATGGAGTGTGGGGACGAGCAGGCAT